AGGAGACCATCCGCCACCTCATCAGGAGCATGCCCAGGCGTTGTAGGGAGGTCATACGGGCACGTGGAGGCCACACACACTACTGAACCTCATTTTGACTTGTTCTGAGGACATTACATCAAAGTTGGATCAGCCTGTAGTGTTGTTTTCCACTTTAATTTTGGGTGTCACTCCAGATCCAGACCTCCATGGGTTGCTAAATTTGATTTCCATTGATAATTTCTGTGTGATTTTGTTGTCAGCACATTCAACTATGTAATGAACAAGGTATTTAATAAGAATATTTCATTCTTTCAGATCTAGGATGTCTTATTTTTGTGTTCCCTTTATTTTTTTGAGCAGTGTATGTGAATTTGCAAGACATTCAGATAATTATTTAAATCTGTATCAAATTGCACAGAGGCTACATACTGTACAATAAAAGTAAATTCTCTCCCTCTGGTTAGAGTGGCAGCTCATGGGAAAAATTGTACAAAAAATAGTCTAAAATGTCTTAACAATACAAATTTATTTGAATGAAGTCCCAAAACTGATCATTTTGACACATTTTGCCAACAAGCAAATAAATATTTTCCAACGTGGGGTTCAGCCCCATACAATATATACAGTATGTTACATGTAATGAGGCACAAAGTGCAGATAAGAGTCCTGCAAGTTTTAAATAACTTACTAAACTAAAAATTGACAGCATCATAAATCTGTAAAATGACTGGCCTTTGTGCACTTGGTAAATCCCACCTCTTGTTGATGTTTCTCTATCAGGTCTTTTATCTCCTGTTGGTGTGACTTCTTGAGCCTCTCCATAGTCTCCTCAACAGTCCAGACTTGCTTCTCCAGAAGAGCCTTCATCTCTGCTTCCCTTTCCCTCTGCTGCTCCTCCATAAGGTGTCTTATGTCAAGGAGCTCCTTCTCCTTCTCCTGCCTCTCTTCCTCCCATTTCTCCTTCTCTTCAGCCAACTGTAACAATCATTTTATACATCACGTTACTCTTCAGATCATGTTAATTCAAACAAATTAGCATTACAATGAGCAAAATAATTCCATTATTACATTATACATCTCACCTCAACATCCTTGGATTTCAGCAGGTTCTCAAACTGTTCAAGTTCTTCCTCCAAGACCTGCTCCATTTTTTTAATCCTCTCATCCATCTCTTCTTCCTTTCTCTTGTGCTCCTCCCTCTCCTGCACTGCCTGGGCCTGGGCCTCCTCCAGGTTGGCCAGATTTTGCCTCAGACAGAACATCTGAGATTCCAACTCATGCTCCTGTTTCTCAGCCCTGTCTAGACTGTCATGGCTCTTCTCCAGCTCTTTCTGCAGCCTCTCCACCTCGGTTTGGACATTTAGAACCTGTGCACGAGTTGCTTCAAGTTCCTTAAATGTTTTGTCCAGCTCCACAGACCTTTGACCTAGCTGGTCTGATGTGGTTTTAAGCTTTGTTTTTGTCTCCTCCAGCTCTGACATAAGATGGTCACAATGGGCCTTTTGAGAAGGAAAAAGAGAAATTCTTTTCTTAAAACCTTTAATCACAACTGCATGAACAGACTAGCATGTTTACATTTTTATGAAGCCACTAATACAAACCACCTTCTTATACTGCTATACCTGTAGTGCTTGCAGCTGGTTGTCATATCTGAGCACTGGGCTCCGTTTGGCAGAGTCTCCACTCTGATTTATCTCATGCAGAGATGATACTAGCAATTTCTGCTGAGACAAGAGTGCAGCCTCCTCCTCCAGCCCCCAAACCATTTTATTGTCCTGCTCTGATAGAGAGGCATCAGAGACTAGCAGGAGAGTTTCAGCAGCTTCTTTTCCCATGAACATTTCTCTTTCTTCTATAAAGGCACTGTGTTTACTATTCAAGTCATCTTGTACATGAGCTTTAGAGTTTATCTCCTCCTCAATATGTCTCCTCTTCTCCTTCTCCTCTTCAAGTTCCCAGAGAGCCTGCCTGAGCTCTTCTGTTACTTGGGCCCATCTGAACACACAAAGATAATTTGAGAATGTTACTAAGTAGAAGCAAATCAGAGTAGCCAGTCAAAAAATGAATGCACTTTGCATGAAATAAATATATCTTAATATGAATTAAATAGTATATAAATTTGAATGTAGCAAGTAACTTTTAATCAAAATGTTACTTGGTACCTACTGCACATATTCAGTGTAGTGGCAACATTGAGTATTGTACATTATTTAAATAAATGAATATTGTTTGAAAGTAAATATGGCTTTAATATCACAGTAATTCCACTGCCAGCTGCAGTTTGTGGAAAGTGTATGAAAATCAGTGGCACTATTTTGAAAAACATGCACTGTGTTTTATTAGTCAACTTGTAATGCATCTTACTTGTCTGAGAAGAGAAAAATTGCTTCAAAATTTAAGCAGGCACATAAAAAAGAGGGGGCGGCTGTGGCTTAGGAGGTTGAGTGGGTCGTTTCTTAACCGGCGGATTAGCGGTTCGATTCCCGGCTTGTCAAGTGAACGTGTTGAAGTGTCCTTGAGCAAGACACTAAACCCCCAGTTGCTGCCGGTGATAACACCGGTGTGTGAATGTGTGAATGTTTGTGAGTACGAATGGGTGAATGGCCAAGTAGTGTAAAAGTGTGCTGTAAAGCATAGAAAGTGCTATAAGACCATTTACCAAAGAAATATTAGTACAATAATAAACTAAATAACCACATGCCTTATTTAACTTGCTTACCTGCTCCTGGCCTCTTCCAGCTCTTCAGCACTCCTGATGATTTCCTCTCTCAACACATTCATGTCCCTGTCCTTGAGAGCCAGCTCCTCACGGAGCTCCCCACACTGCTGATTCAACAGCTCTTTTTCCAGATCTGCATCCTCACACTGCTCCTCGGACAGCTCACTCATTTCCAGATTGTCAGATGCGGAGTTGTGAAGCCACTGAGAGACAGACTGAGGATTGGAATTATCAGTCACAGGGACAAAGCACTGTGGGGTAGAGATGTTATGGAGGTTGTCGTTTTCATTGACAGCACGGTTTGAAATTGACAACAGAGGCTCATCTCCCAACACTTCACTGTTCAGCTCAAAACTGTGAAGAGAAGCACAGAAACAAATTAGTATTTAACTATCCTATAATCACAAACATGCAGGAAAAAAAAAAACTGACTTTTTTCTAACCTGCAGTCTGCCAAGACATCCAGCTGACTGCAGCGTTCAAAACTTTCACTGACCACTGAAGACTGAGAGTGTGCAACGGGAATTGAAGACAGGTAGCGCTCCATCATAAGATCCCCAGGTATTGATCTATTCATACTATCCTGATCAGTCCCACTTTCTAGATTGGCCTTATCTATACTAGTCCTTTCATCGCAGCTAAATCCAGCTTTTGCTTGGTTCTGCTGATTCTTATAAGTTTTGAGTCCTATGACCTCTTCCTCTCTATACTTCAGCTCTTTCTCCCTCTCCTCCAACAACTGTCTGACTCTCGCCACTTCCTCTTTGAGCCGCTTCATCTCCTCCTCCTGTCTCAATCTTTTGTCCTCAAGACTCTGGAGATGAAGGGTAGAGCTGGCTACCTCCTCACTGAATCTTCTCTCTGAATCTTCTTCCTCCTGAAGCCTTTTCCTCAGCTCCAGCACTTCTCTGTTTAGTTTGTCCTTCTCCTCTTTATACTGCTCAATCTCAAGGCACTGAGATTGGATTTGGCTCAACTGGGTCTGGAGGTCTTGCAGCTGTGCCTCCTTTTCTTTTTGCTCCTCTTCCCTACCTCTCTTTTCCTTTTCTAATAAAGAAAGCACATGTTGATGTTTCTCCATCTCCTCAGCTAGTTCGGCACATAAGCGCTGATTGTTCTCCCTTTCTTCTTCCAGTTCGGTCTGCAGTTTGTGCAGAACAGAGTCTGTCTCAGTGTCACTATCAATGATGGAGCCTTCAACACTTGAATGGGAGCCAGGACCTCCAGTTCCTGATCCCTCTGATGGTGCCTCCTTATGATTGAGGTTTGCATCTGGGGGGAAAGGGCCATGCTGAGGCTGCTGTTGTGTGATAAGGACATCAGGCCCCGAGTGACTTTTGATGCGCAGAAACTCTATGCTGGTCTGTGTGAAAGACAATTTAGAGAATATGCAGGTTCAGTTGCAGTGCATACAAACAAAGAAGTGCATAGTGCTGGCACAAATGTAGCTTCGACCAGCACTTGCCTGCTGGAGTTGTCTCTGTAATGCTTGAATTTGTCCAGCAAGTGACTGTGCCTCCAGTTGTACCTGGTCTCTACTGGCCAGAGCCTCCTGCAGGTTGGAGCTGAGCTTTGCAATTATTTCATTACGCTTCTCCACAGCTTGCTGTAACTGCTGCCAAGTTTATAAAAAATAAATAAATAAAAACAAATTAAAAAAAAAGGTGACTTTTATAAGCAGACACAAAAACACATGTACATATATTCCTAATTTGTAGTGTAGCATATTTGAGTATAGGATGCATTTCCACTCTCTGCAGTCCTAAGATGACATAAAGTCAGACCGCAGTCTGAACCAGTGACTACACACAAACTTGCCCTGGATTACACTGATTTCCACCACTCATCTCAACTTCCATCCGTTAGTTTTGTGTTTCAGTTATTTTGAGACAAGATTTAGTTTGTAAAGTTTACAGCCCGCCACGCCATTGCTCCTACACTGCTCCATGTATAAAAACACAGCTAAAATACAAAATATGTGCAGCAGGTCTGCTGACAAAAGGCAATTCAAATTGGGGCCTAATTGACTTTTAGGAGACATGCCTCCAATTTACAACATTTCCATTATATGGGTTTCAATCCACAAATACCTTCAAATTATAGATAACCTATGCTGCATTTTTAGATCAGTATAGCCAAGCAGAAGAGGAGACGGTTACAGTCCCCAAAGATAAGTGATGAGACAGACACAGAAATTCAAAAACCCTCTTAACAGCCCTTCCTTTGTCTAAGTGGGGAAACAAAGTAAGACGACAAATCAATACTATGACCAAACACATCTAAATGCACTTCAACATGGTATATCAACAAGAACACTGATTTATATAATCAGTTTTAAGGACCAAATCCCACTGTGTGAATTGAGAGCCTAGGGTAATGATTAGTATGCATTCATGACATTAAACCCATCTTCCCATTTATATTTAGTCAGCCCTACTTAGTGTTTAACTGCACCAGCAAAATAAATCCCCCCAAAAAAACCCACTTAACCAGAAAATTACCGAATTATGCCACACAGGAAAAAATGTGTTTTAGTCAGATGCTTCAACATACTGTGAAAAATACAACTGTGAAAAATAACAGTACAATCTTATGAAATACAAGGATCTGATATCCTACCTAAATGTTGGTTTTTTAAATCACTGATGTGTATACCTTGAGTTGGTCTTGGCCAGTAAGCGCAAGTAGCTCCTCTTCTCTTAGCTCTTCCACAGGAGACTGGCTTTGCTCCGGGGTCAGGAGCTGATCCTTCTGTTGCTGGTTCTGCTGAACATCTGATTTTTCTGGCTTTTGGAGTTCCTAAAGAATTAAAGAGTTTTAGAATCAAGTCTGACTAACTACTTTGCAAAAGCAAACAAAAAAAAAGTCAACGCATCTCTAAATATGTAATTATAATAGTTTGAAAAGGCAGTAAATAGTACCACAGTTAATCCTGGACAGGTTGCTATGACAACATGGCTCACAGGCAATGTGATGGTTAGTGACCCATTTCTCTAGTGCATGTTTTTTCCAAGCAGGGGAGCACAGAGCACTTATTTACACATACAGCGAGCAAACAAAATTAGACAAATAGTCTGAGGTCAGGTAGTGTGACCTTGAGTAAATCTGACAGACGTCATACATTAAAGCTTTTTTGTATCAAAAATAATTGGCTGCTTTGATTAAAAGAATTATGTTATGGACCACACAATTCAAATTTCTTCATTCTGCTCTGTAACTCCATTAAGGATGCATGACTGATCATCTCTTTGTGATCAATGATGTACCTCATTGTTGCTCTTCCTGCTCTGCTCTGTGTCACTTGTTGATGGAGGACCTGGCTTTACGTGACAATCTTGCGTCGCACTGTCATTCTGCGAGACAGTCTGGCCCTTCCTCTTCTGCGTCTTTTTCGCCGCCCCCGTACTGTTGCTTTTCGCCCGCTTCTGTCTGAAACTAGCAAGCTGCACAGGAAGGACAGTGAGAGGTACATGAACACATAGGTCAGGACCACTGAGCACCACCACACTATCAGCATGATGAACCAGAGGGGTCAGAGGTGGGAGAGAACTAGAATCCCGATTTATCTTCTCAGTTGGGAAAAAAAAGTTATGAAAAAAATCATCCTGAAATCATTAGGCAGAGTATAAATATACTAGCATACAAGTTATTGCTAGTCCCCACTGCAGAAAAGAAAAAAGATTTGATCCCTTATTTTGATGAGTCAGATTTGTCCAGCAAAAAAGATGATACTCAATGAAGCAAGAAGAAATCCCAAACACACAGCAAAATTATCTCCAGATAGACAAAGGTTTACTAGCACACATTGAACAACATTATCAGCAGACCAGAAAACAAGCATGTCTGAGGAAAAAAGTATACCACTCAGACTCTTTGCATTTTTCATCTTGTAGAAACGTCAAAATCAGAGAAGCACACTGGTTGACCTGAGCTTTCTGAAGAAACAGAAAGTCTTCACTGAAGTCATGGAAGGGCAAAGAAAGAATCTGAGCCTGAGAGGTTCACTGACAGTGAAGAGCCATCACCCCCAGTCATGTCACGAAAGTTAGTTTGAATCCAGAAGGGCTGATGTGGTACAAATCCACCTCAGGTTATTTCTCTTTGCAACACTCCCTCTTTTTTGCTCTCTCTCTCTGTCTGTCTGTCTGTGTCCCTCTTCTATAAGAAGCTTAAATCAGATTAGAGCAGCTCATATTGTTACAGAAACCCTCAAGAAGCACCCCAGCATAAACAACTGACAATCAGCCGGCGACTCCCTTTCTTGCTGGTGGTCAGACCTATCAATTCTTCCTCATCAGGCCAGCTGCTCTACTGTTCAGATGTAGTAGATCTTGCAGTCTGCAGGCAAAAGCACACTTGGCCCAACCCTTCATCCTAATACTCTTTGCTACAGCCAACGTACAAAGCAGAGGGCTCCACAAACTCTGGATAGGGGATGGTAAGTGTCTAGACTAAAGAACAGCAGAAGAGGGTGGAGATTGGGATATGTATTCACATGGAGAGGAGGAGACAGAGCTCTGTGTGGCGAGCAGCACCACAGTGTACATGCTCAATTCAATCTGAGATTACATGTCCTCGGGAGAGCTACTTGTTGCTTTGTTTGAGTCAAATACATGTGTATGACAATATTGTGGGTGCATGTTCACCAATATTTACTCTCATAACATTATATGTAGGCTGTAGGTTTTTCTTGGACCCATTTAGCAACATGTAATGTACCCACTACCATGCCATACTATTCCTATTCTACTATAGTGCAAATATTCTTTTGACTCCTAAAGCCAGATTGAATCTTGACTTAAAATAATCATTCCTTCACCTAAACCACAATTAAACCTCTTCCCACCTCACACTTTTCATCTGCTTTCTTACTCATCACCACCTAAGACCCCACCTTTGCTGTCCTTCCATCACTCTTTTCACCATCTCCACCTGGAACAACACACGTTTCAGAAAGACACATCAGCCAGATGAGCTGTGTTTAGCCCAAGGCTGCTTCTGCACTATTGAGAGTCTGACTAACCAGCTTGCTGCAGCTTACTATGGCCAAATCAAGTGTTACTGGGCTGAACACTGCAATTGCACTCTCAACACCAAGACAGGGTCGTGAGTATACTGCTGTGTCTACTGGGAGTCAATTTGTGTTTATATTTGTGCTTGTCTATATGTAATTTTTATAAACGTCTCATGCTTGTAATGTGGTAGAGAAACCAAAGCTTTTTGATGTGCCAGATACCATAAAGACAACTGACAGCACAGCATTACCATAGCAACACCATTCATGTGAGATGTTTGGGCAACATATTCACCCTTACTAAATCTCATGGGCTCACTGCACCACCTGATGGCCTACAACCAACATGACAGTGTACGCAAGGTGTGCAGATATTAGACATTTAAGTTATGAATGCAATGCAGGTCTTTGAGGTTTATGGACTTGAAAATCAACACTGTAAATTCTTCTTTAAAAGGCAGCAGATTTATACCCCAAAGGTTGACAGCAGTCACATTGAAGTGCAAAAAAGCAGAAGAAAGCCCCGATTGCCCACTCAAGAGAAACAAAAAATAGCAATAAAGAAATCACTAACAAATAATGCCCACAAACCAAAAATCACATAAAAAAGTCAAATGTCTCTGCCAGTCACCTGTTTCTACACTTACCGACAGGTTTCCTGGTATATTGGAGGATTTCTGTCATAAGGAATTAAGTGGTTCAGTTGCATCATTTCTTTAGTATCATGCTAATGTACCACACACACATCTCTTGAATGAATCCTACCTGCTTGGCCAACAGGTGCAACATCTAACAAATGGAATTCAATTTGCTAGTCTGAACAGAGTTTACCTAATTTTAAACCTAGCTTTTAGACACTGTGGCTGAGTTGTCAAAACATTGCAAGCCATTACTGTTTATTAGCCCATTATTAATATGGCCTTCCACAATTGTAAAAATAGCCATTTGCTTTTACAGTGTTTGCAGCTCCACAGTAGTCACTTTCACAGACTGATGAAAATGCCATGGAGTCTGTTATACCATCTCTTGTGGATGTCACTTGGATATAAGTTAATACTAATGTTACCTGTTACAAACATTTACTAACGTCAGGAATCAGATTAATAACCCTATTATCAAAGCTGTGAGACAGAGCCATTGTCCTGTGTCAAACTTAAAGGACGATTATACTACGACATTTTAATGCTATAAAATGTTGTATGTTAAGGAAACGCAAAGTTTAATTGGCTGCTGAAATTGTGCTTCTATAAGATTACTGTGTTGCAGAAAGAGTATTTCCTCGAAACACTAGACATTTCTCCATGTAAATTACTCCATCCATGAGCCAAGCAAAAGCTATTTTAAAAACACTTCAACGAAAACATCGGATGCACAAGTGGATACTGAAGAAACGTTAGCGTTATGTTTCTAACATATTAATCTTACTGGTTAGTAACAAATGTCTCTCGTATTTATACACAAGTGTATCTTTGCGTCTCCACTGGACTCCAAGTGTATGCAAAGCGATTCCGTTAATTAGATCATTAGTTAGGGTTAACCAACTCCATATACATCACGGTTAACCTTAACTATGTGCAACCTTAGCTAATGATCGAAACGTGACATATGAGCGGCAAATTAGTAAATTTGTGTGCGCTTGTAACTATTTTAACAAGCAAACAGGATCTAAGCAACGACAAACAAAATGTAACTTTCAAATAATTTTGGAGAAGAGTATAGTTAGCAATGAACAAACGCAAAGATGTGACAAAAGAGCTAGCTAGTTGACTGTTAGCATTCACTACTGGCGTGCGTTACCGTTGTTAGCGTTAAATGATAGCAACAAACCTTAGCTCTCCCAGCTTCTAATTTCCTCTGTCGTTCATCTTCATCCATCTCTTTGTTTAAACAAAACCACTGAAAATGAAGGGCAGATGTCCTAAATCAAGCGCATTGGACATTAAATTCTAGCACAAGTTGGCAAAAACAAAATCTCTGAGCTTCCTTTAGACACAACTGTCAACAGAAGATATTCAATATGGCCGCCAACTTAGCTCAACTCCGCCCTTATCGAGTTTCCTTGAATAAACGGACCAATCAAATCATCACATTTCACGTCTTCCACCAATGGCGCTTTCAATTCTCAAAAATACTCCTGCATATAAGTAACCATCTCATACTTTGTACGTGAGTCAAAACTAGAATCTAATTGACCAATTAACTGGCTGTATTAAGTGGCCGGGCTTGAATTGACGGCTTTTGTAGCCAATCAAAATTGGGAAATACAAAAATTACCTCCGCTTACGTCTGTTTTGAAACACTGGGGTGAGGAGTTTCTACAATGTCAAGTAAACGACAGTGGTTACTAAAGGGAAATTAAAGGCTTTCATTTATCCATTCACTTTATGCAAAATGATGTAACCAGAAATAGAAAAACAAAACAACATTTTGTGTTACCTTAAAAACATCACAAATTTACCTAGGTACACTGCACCGTTTTTCAAAATATTTGACAGGTTGTTCCAAGCATCCGGGAAATTATGCCACAGTTCTTCTGTGAATTCAGACCATCTTAGTTGCTTGTTTCTTTATGTGATCCCTGACTGACTCAGTGACGTTGAGATCAGGCCTCTGTGGTTGCCATACCATCCATTGGAGAACTCCTTGTTCTTCTCCCTGAAAAGAGTTCTTTTTGACTGTGGCTATATGTTTGGGGTCCTTGTCATGCTGCAGAATAAATTTACAATTAATCAGATGCATGCCTGGCAGTGTGTGTGTGATGGAAAGGAATCTCAACATTTAAAGTATCTAAAACCTTTACCCAGTACTGTAATGACAAGACATGATTATGTGGTTTGTGGTCACATGTTCTGTGTCTTACAAAACTGTGTCAAAAGGTTACCACCATTCAGGTTTGCGTTATTTGAAGATTTGCCTTTAATTAATACATATCTATCAAGTTATCTATATCTTTCTAGATGAAATTAGCAAAAAACATCCAAAAAGTATGTTTGTTTGTTTCCATTGTAAGTAACTGAAACCCAGCCTTGCCTGTTTGGTTCTTAAAATTGAATCTATTTTTTAATCAAACCAACAGAACATGGAATCTGGGCTCATTTGCCAAGGTTATTTAATGTTAAAAACTTACTCCCTCTTCTATTTCTCAGCATAGAAACCAATCAGGTATGCACACTGTGGTTAAGTGCCAGTGGTAAACAGGTGTGTCCCATGGTAACCCCTGTGTGGTGTGATCAAACACACAGGTGGACACAAAGTCTGTGTGACTCCAAATGCCAAGATTTCAGGTAAGTGAGAGATTAAAATCGGCATACCTGCATGTCTGTATGTCTGACTCCAGCATTTCTACCAATTGTTATTGGTTAATGATTATTATGATCCAGCACACAGCTGATTGTACAATAACACAGTTCCTTTCTTTGTGCCATCTTTTAGGATGGCAGTTCTTCAGTTGATCAGATGACAAGACTCAAATTCCTGGAGAAGGTATGTGAGAGGTTTGTTTACAGTTAGTGGTGGGAGAGACAGACAGGAGGATTGTGTTTGAACTTTATTCACTTGGGTAATTTTCCTAGTATTTCCAAAAACAAAAGTGTTTCAGCTTAGTTTCTTTTTTCATTTCTTAAGAATAAAACATGAATCTAAATATTATTTACTCACATCCCTAGAGACTGCTGGAAAACAACAAGCACAATATGGATGACAGAGCAGAGTCTGCCCAATCAGAAAGTAAGATAATAAAGATGTGATGAAGAATTTTGAACTGTGTAAATTATTAACCTAACCTGTCTTGACAGAAATAGTTACATTCACCATTACATTTAGCTGAAACTAAGAATGACTTCTCGAGATGCCAAACAAAGAATATAACAAAGGTTAAAAAGACAAAGATTAAAATACACTTAGTGGTAAACTGAACCTGGTAGTAAATAGATATGATGAACACTAAAAGAAGAAGTCTTGGGAGCTAATGAAAATGGTAAATAATTTTACTCACAAAAAAGATCATGTATTAGAACAGGTTGAAGTAACCGACATTAGTGACATTAAAAAGGGTTAGTTAGTGAAAACATGATTTTTGTCTCTTCAGGGAGTAATGATGGACAGATGGATGCACTTCACCGTGCACTGAGGCGAAAGCGGGACTTGCTACAAAGACTGAGAGTTAGTACAAAATTTTAATCTCCTTGTTCCAAGATTTCATATTTTTATTCATTGATATATTACTCACCTATGCTCAGACAGATGAAGACTACAAAATTAATGCAAGAGAAAGACAAGAATCTCCTTATGTGCATTTGACCATTTCACCTATCACTGTGTCACCATCTGTGTAGGAGCAGCATATGTTAGAATACCTCAACAGACCTCATACCTGGGGAGGGTCACGAAGATATCCCCAGCCACATTTTGTCACTGCCCCCCAGCCACCTCAACCATTCCCACCCATGGCACCAAGTCACATTCACCACCCAGTCCCTGTTCTGCCCTCCTTGACTCTTCCACCACCTGCCCCACCTCAGGCTCCACGCATCATCCAACAGACTGTGAGATCCACAGCAATAATCTCAAAAACGCCCCAATCCCTGTGTCAGTTTCTATGTAGTCTGTTTAATGTATTTAATTTTCTTTTCTTCTCCTTTATTTTTGTTCTTTAGTTCCATTCACACTGCATGCTTATACTGACTTTACTACGAGACAGATCTGCAATGAGCTCAAGAATAGTGTAAGAATATTGCAAATTAAATATGCAAAAGAAACAGCAATTTGTCCCCTTCTTTCTCGCTTCAGCTACCCCAGCAACCTGCCACCATCATACAACAGCTGCCACAACAGCAGCCTCTGATTACTCAGATTCCTCCTCCCCAGCTGTACCCTGCACCACGCTCAGGCAGCATCAAAGAGGGTAAGTAACAACAAATAAGTGATATACCCTACGTGAGTGTTTCTGTATTCATGCGTTATTTGTATTTTGCATTAGATATGGTGGAACTGATGCTGATGCAAAATGCCCAGATGCACCAGATTATAATGCACAATATGATGCTGAAAGCCATGCCTCCTATGGCCCTGTTGCCACCTGGAGGGTCCAGTCACTATGCCACCCATAATGTATATCTTGGGCAGGTATGCACACACACCTTCTTTTTACCAGCACATGCAGATAAAACACTAAGTCTCAAATCTGACTGATTACAAAAACTTTCAAATTTGTACTTCCAGGACTGTTACCAGGGAAATCCTAATTTGGTAAAGCCTGATTTCAAACCAAGAGGAAGTTCTGTCCATCATCATCATCATCACTATGGTCCTACTCCTGCAGCACCTCAGCTGCCTCTGATCAGCTACCCTACATGGCTACAAGGGGTGTCACCTATCCCAGGAAGACAAGCAGAGGGACACCTACCCTCTTTACACCAAGTAACAACTCCTATTACACTCCCACCGCTCAATACGTAAGGCACACTAACACTGACTATATTTACACAGCGAGTATTGTTAATTTATTTTACTAATAAACACAACTGTCTGTGCATGTGTCTTTACAGGACTCAGATTTCTCTCTGAGAGTCCCTATGAAATAAAACTGCATGGCTTATGGCACTCGGAAAAACTGTTGGAGGTGAAGTTGTGGTTGCTTAACACTGGAAAAACGTCAAAAACGCCCTCTGACATACAGCATAATAACGTTAACTTAACCAAAAACACTGTAGTTAAACGAACAATATTAATGCTAGTCTAAATAAACTTTTGCTAATATGAAGCAGCTAACGTTAGCTTACGCTATGTAACACTTTTTTAACATAGCACATAACAGTGAACACGCAGTGTCATTAAACAAATTATAAAGAATAAATAAAAAGCATTAACGCCCGCACAGGGACTTGAACCCTGGACCCTCAGATTAAAAGTCTGATGCTCTACCGACTGAGCTATCCGGGCTCTGAGCCAGGTTTTTTACTACAGCTAATAACAACAGTTTAAGATATGTTATTAACTGTACGATAAAGTGTTTAATTGGGGTTAGCGTCAACGCTTTCTGTTCGTAGCTAGCTTATCTACATAAAGTAGCAAGCTAACTAGCTATTTTAGCTTAAAGCCAACTGTACATAAAGTAATTGTCGGATTCATGTGTAGCTAACCGCTATGACTTAAAAGTAATTTACGCTAAATCGATTTTAAAACACCATATGTGTATTTAGTCGGTCACGATTCGTGTTATTAGTAGTGTTAACGCTGGTTGTTTCTTCAGTATGTACATAAAATAGTTGCTTTGTCTTTAATTGATGTTTTTGACAGCTGTACAAAATAGTATTTTACAGCATCTATAAAACAAACAAAACACAAGATCAACTCAAATATTACATTTACTCTAACGTTACCACACCTACAGTAATTACTGCATCCATGACCATATTATCAGCCCAGCAGTGTGGCAGTACTTCATCCCATTTCAAATGCATAACAGAAAACCAAGCAACCCTAATTGTCAGTCACCATCACACATCCCTTTTGATAAATAAAACAATCACTTATATACAAAACATACAAATAATCCAAGTTGTGACACCCTCCGCATTAACAAATTAAAGTGCAAAATCCCTTCTTTAAGGAATTGCGACTTACTGAGAAGAACAGGAAAGTCATGCTGTGATTGAGGAGTCTGTGGAGGATGGTAGTGATACAGTATTCTTGCTTTGAGAAGATTACAGAAGAAGTGGATGATGATGATACACTTGTGCTTGGGGGCATTTTGTATGGCACATATCAAAATTACACGCTAAATTACATGCTTAAAGCAGCCTTGTATGCTTACTGCACCCATTAGCAAATCTGATGAAAAATTATGAATGCTAAACAATTAAACCTTGGCGAATCAGATTCAAATGTGCTTGAAAACAGAATTTCTGGTTGCATTTAATAAAACTTACAACTGTGTAAAATTGATGACTTCTATATTATGTGCTACTGTGACTTCACCTGTAACACTTATTTACAGTGTATGTGTGCCTGTTGAATACGAGGCTTCTTTGTACAATTTATCTTTACAACTGTCAGCCTGTGCAAACTGAGGCAAACGTCAGAAAAAGTTTAAGAATGTTTTATAAATTCACTTGAACTTTGTAATGTAATGAATGCAGAAGGACATTTCACAAAAAGAGTACAGTATATCACTGAAAAATATCAGGTGAATTTTGCACTATTTGAGGCCTTCAGATGTTTTGAGAAGAGGCAGAATGCAGGCTGAAATAAAGAGCACAGGGTAGGATACGCAGCCTACTGAGCAAATATACACAATGAAAGTCTGTGCGTCACTAGCATCTTTTTGAACACATTTTGTTGAATGCTATTATTGTTAGAGAGAGACCACACATTTCTCAAATGTCACCTCTCACACCAACTGATTTGTTAAGAGGAAAACAACACAGATAGCACAAATTAATGTATTTGTATCACAATTTGGGGCAAATTGTTTCTAGCCACACTGTAATTGTTGTTTATATCACAGCAACACATGCACTTTTATTATGTAATCCTTTGGCATTATAAAAAAGGTGTAGTGTAATTTTATGTTATCAATGGCTAGTAGGTCATCCTCTGATACACAAATTCAGAGATTTACCCTGTTTAGATATGGAGTATGTGATATAGTACATCATGGATGTCAAAAGTTCACTGTCTTTTAATGGCCAATGATGACATCCAGCTAAACATGTCCAAATGATTTTACTATTTGAGTATTTATTTATTTGAGATCACGTGTTAGTTCAGACAGTCAATCCCGGAGAAAGGCTTGGTTAAGGGTGATGATGTCTGTTTGATGCCTGTCAGGGTAGGGTGCTGATACTTATTCACTTGGCTTGGTTATTTAACCTAACATGAAAGAGAAAAAAAAAGTTAATTTACTTGCCCTGCACACAGGCAAATTAACTTCATCACTTTAATCATGCACAAAGAGCATTCACCTTGTGTATGTGAGGTGGCATTTCATCCTCTGAGCTTTCCTCTGGTAGTGGCCCGTGCTGTTGTGGTGCTGGCTGACTCTCCTCTGCCCATCCTCCCATTGGCACATGCGCTGACCTCACTACCTTCCCTCCTGCACCAACAGAGTTTGGAAAACAGATATTGTGGTTAAAAAGTGTCAGTCAATGGTAATCTGTATAGGACTTGTATTGAAAGCTTTTAAGTTCTTATTGTGTGAGCTAAACTGATGTAACCTTGAGAAATTAAACTAACTACTGAATGAAAATCTTTTTCTGTTCTGTACATACTGCAATTAAGCATTTCTTTTCCTGAGACCAGTTCTCTTTCTAGAATGTACACATTTTCTAAAGGTGTATTTATCCTATAAACATATTTGCATTCATAAAAATAAAGGTGCTGCGGGGAGTGCAGCAACTTTGCAAAAGTATCAGAAGGAACAAGCACTGGATCATTAAATAACCTTCCATCCAAATGCATATGGTGTAAGTTGAGCCAAAAGATACATACCTGTGCTAGGTCCACTATAGCCCCGCTGGCTGCTGCCCTGTGATGATGCTCCCTCCTGCCCTGCGATGGTACTGCTGGTGACTGAGGCTGAAGTTGGAATAGCACTAGGGCTGGGAGCTGTGGTGGGGAAAGTATGCGAGCGAGGGAAATTTCTACTTCTTACTTCATCCGGGATGCTGTCACTGCTTTCATCACTCTCCTGCCTGTGCCATGTGTGGCGGGGCAGCTCGCCACGGGACTGCTGTTTGTGAAGCTACAAGAACAAAAAATAAAACTGTTGCAAGTATTATGCATCGAACCTAAGATGGAGAAGATCTGTTATATATTTGTAGCAGCAAGCACACCTCTCACTTGTGTGCACATATACACTTACCTCGTGTATGTAAACTGCATGGATGCTCATCTCAGTGGAGGCGTATTCGGACAGGACCAAACTGGTGAGTTGACCCTCCCATGCGCTACTGCCTGAGCTCACAGTTCGGGCATCAGTTCTACAGGAAGAGAGCAAAAATGTGGAGAAAATGAAGACATGAAGAGGAGGGAATAAAACATTAATAACAAGAAAGAAGAATATAGAGTATAAAATGTTTCCTTAACAAAGCTCTTGCAAATGCGTGATGCTTGATTTTGCATTTTAAACTGAGTATATTTTGAGTTCTGGAAAAAACAGAATTGAAACATGGTTTATGAGGACTGTTTTCTTACCCAGAGTCTGCCATTGCCTTGCTCATGCCTGGAGTGTGGCTAGCAGCCCTGTGAGCTGCACTCAAACTGCCTTTCAGGTGCAGGCTGGTGCTGACTGGGGAAAGGGAGCGCAAGGCAGATGCCCCATCACTTAAGCCAGCTGCTGCATGATTGACCAAAGAGATGTCCCTGCCGAAATGGACAGAAGCCAGTGTAGAGGGACCTACCAAGAAGTTTGCAATGAGACTTCTTGGCTAAAAGAGAGAGGGAGGGGAGCAGAGAAAAGGGAAGGGAGAAGAATGTACTGTATGTCAATTGTTACCTTTGAAATTTAAGTTATAATCACTGTGGTACATGAGCATGACTGTTAGCTTATCACCGTACTTCAGACTCTGACAATGAGTGTGGATGTGTGTCTGTAGCAGCCCCAGTGGCCTCTCTATGAACTCTTTCTTTCAGCTGGCTGATGAAGTGTGTGGTCTCTTGAGAAGGCTGCCACTGGGGGTTGGTAATGGCAAAGTGCATCAGAGACAACTCTGTCTTTCCATCCTCTGCCTGTTGGTAGATAGATGCCTCCGTCTTCCCTTCTGACATCCACTAGAGAGGGTCAACACACTCATGTTACACTTTAGAAACAATCAATCTAATGCATGTCACACAGTACATAGATAAACACTTTTATTAGGTGCCTTTATGTATATCTGTGTGGCTACACATAATGTGGCACTCCCTCACCGCAGGGTGTCCATGTTGCCTGATGTCCATCTGGGCAAATGAGCAGGTGTCTCCCGCCCCAACCACCTCCACAGTGAAGTTCCTGAAGAAATCAATGATCTCCAGAGACTTTCTCCTCAGACAGAAAATCAGGATGATTGGAGTCACTACTGGACTTAGCAGCTCCTCTAAAATAAACACCTGGACACAAATAGGGCAACGGCTGGCTGGCATTGTACACAGAACAGAGCAGAGTACAGCAAACAAATCAAAGGTATACTGAACCTTGGATTCAAATGGTGAAAAGCAATTTAATACAGCACATTTAATTGCAATGTTAAAGAAGAACACTTGTGACTTTAAGATGAAAGACTTAAAGCTGCCACGAGTTGTGAAAATCTGGGAGTAGTAGTAAGACGCTTGTCAGCATGACACTGAAACTTCTGTTTCAGTAAGCTGAAGCATGTCTGTGGCAGGGCCCTGAAACTAGCATGTAAATAACAAAATAAAATAAGTGAAATAAAGCCATCAATATTACTATTATTTACATCTTGTGTTTTATTTCTATGATATGTGAAAAGGTCTCTTGAAAAAAAAAAGCCTGTAGAACACAGCTATGATAGGTTAATTCCAGTGCTTATATTCTGAGTCTTGCCCTTTAACTTCAAGTCATTATTTATACTGTACTCACTGCTTTGTACTGGAAGAGCTGGGAGAACTGGTCACGAGTCTCATATCTATGTGCATTGCCCTGCCAGTGGTCAGGCATGTAGTGGATATGAGCCAGGATGACTCGCAACAGCTGCTCGGGACAAAACACCATGTGCTTATCAGGAATAAAGGACCTGAATAGAGAGAAGTGGAAGAAAAAAAAAGCCTTTTGATTAACTACTGCAGGCTGTGCTGCCTTCTCCTCCTTCCTCTGCTTTCCCACTCCATTGGACCATAATGGAAACAAGCCTTTGGGTTGTGTTGTGCTATCCTGACTAATTATTAAACCAAATGCTTTGGTTAAATTAAGTAGGGAAACCAACTACACCCAGGTGTGTTTAGATAGAAGAGAATATCAGGCCGATTAACAGGGTAACACCAGTCCCTACCTGCAGACTGTGACACACACTCCCAGCAGTGTGATTGATGTGAGAACATGTTCCACTGTAAGAACATCCTCATCATAGATGGTGAGGGCAATGAGGACTGCCAGAAGAGATCCAGCAAAAAATGCTACATTTTTGGCAACCACAGTCAGCAGTGGCGAAAGGAAGCAGTTCATGTATTTGGATGCAGCCTAAATGAAACAGGAAGAGAAAAAAGAAGAAAGAGTTAAATATCATCTCTACAGGCAATGGATGGAAGAGAAGCACCAGTATCATGAAATGTACTCAAAACCATGTTAATGTTCTTTCCATTTTTAAACTGTGCTCCACAAGACATGCAACTTAAGAGCATCAACATCTGGCAGCAGATGAGGTGCTGCACTGACCTTGTAGCCTTTGCTGAGGCGTGACATTAGCTCATGGTCCAGCTCATTAAAGTGGCGCAGGTAACATCGACCATACAGAGACCAGCATCTCGCTCCCAGAGAACCAGGTTCTCGCTTGATTACCTAAGAACAAACACACACACACCAAACTACTGTTTCGACCACCTGCAAAATAGAAAATTAAAAGTTTCAAGTCTGTACGTGCCTGTGAACTTATTACCTCAGTATAGCTGAAGAAAGCATAGAGAATCTGCCACACCAGAATGACAGGACACAGTAGCAGATTTGCAATCCCAATCCACAGAATTCGGGATGCTAACCTGTCTGCCAGCTCGTGCCTGTTACCTCCTCTCTTATACTCGGCTTTTAGGCTCCACTCATTCTCAAACAGAGAGCCTACAAAGAAACAAAGGGAAAAACAGGTGAGACAAAACTGAGTCCTTGTAAATTAAAAACACTGACAAACAGGCAAATGTATGTGTGCATGCGTTTTTACAGGATCACATTCAGCTGAAATGAGATTTAACTTCAGCTGAATGTGATAGAAATACAGTCATATACTATACATATATAATGAATAATACATATATAATGAATCGCAGTAAACATACACATACCTGGACCCCAAAAGAAGATGAGCTCAAAGTTGTACTTGAGACCCCGAGTGTAGAAAACACAATCTCCAAGTATAGGAAGTTGAAATCGCACAGGAAGGAGTGATTTATTCACCATGGCAACCTACAGACATACAGGAAGAAAGGTTTGGTTTGAGGTCACACCATTTCATTACATTTGCAAGTAGCTCTATCAGATATAAAACACAGTGCCTTCAGAAAGCATTCAGACCCTTTCACTTATTGCATACCTTTTGTGTGTTTTGTGTTGTAGATTTAACTTTAAAATGATTGTTAATCTACACTTCACAATGCAAACATATTTTTGCAGATCTCTTAAAAATTAAAACCCGAAAGCCACTGTAAAAATGTTCCATTGCAAATGCACACACCATGTAGTTTTTAAAGCGGAGGATGCGGTGGTAGATGTCAAGCTCCGTAAGTTCTTTTTTATGGATGCAGATCTGGTGTTCCTTCTGGATCTCCACTATCCTTGCTTGCACCTCTTGCCATGATGCATAGGGAAGCTCTGACTGAAAAGAGCAGTAAAAATTAGTGGGTATAAATGACTTATTCTGATATAATATACATCTGGATGGATATAATTCTAATTAAACAAATATTCATTACACATCTAAAAAAACATTTCTTGACTTTGTCGCACCATGGTCATCTTGAGGGCGTTGATATAGAAGGATCGGATTTCCCAGTAACAGCAGACGTTGTAGATGAATTTGACAAGACGATGTAGCCAAAACACCCCAGAAATAATCAGCAAAAAGACGACAAATGCATTGTCTCGTATACTGGGGAAGAAAATAATTACTTTCATCATTCAAAGTTATATGTAATCAATGGTATTAAGGTTGCTGCTTTTACACTTTTAACATTTCTTTATTGAAAGAACTGGAGCCAACCTGGGTAAAATTACTGATAACATTTCTGCTTTGTCAGTGACAGCAGGTTGTACACATTATAAACAGATAAAGTGTGTAAGAGACATTCAGTGGTCTGATACCTGTTCTACTAAGAATGTGTAAATTGTGCCAAAGAACTATAGCCCGCAAGGATTGAGAAAATTTCTTGTGATTTACTAACTAAATCCAAGTGTCACACTCACCGGGTATTACAGACATCCACTGGGATGAAGGCATCAGGCAAGGTGACTTTAGATGAATCTGTGTGATTTACAAATTTGTTGGCAAAGAGGATGTCATAGTCTACACAGTTAGCTAGGAACACTGTGAAACCAACCACAAACAGCAGCTGACTGTGTTGGAAAAAATAAAGGAGAAGGAGGCAAGGAGAGGAGAAAGACAAAAAAAAAGGTAACATGAAAACACACATACTGAATAAGGCACCTTAAACACCACCAATGAAAAGTCAGATAAAAGATTTTCTGTAAAACATAGTTTATGAAGGACAAGATACATACACCAGTTCGAAGATCTCTCCCAATAACATACAGGTGAATCCATTCTTCTGGTGCATATTATAGACGTAATTGATGTTAGGGAATATTACAAATGCATCTGAGGTTAGAACTCATTTGTGCAACTTTCACTGCAAAAATTCAAGCAACCAGAATTCACTTAGTAGAGACATTGAGAACACAGCACACAAAAAATCCATGGCAAAACCATGTAAGAGGATATTCTCTGGAAAAAGACATCCAGGTTTTCTATGTGGTGCCACTGGGCTGCAAAAGATTTAATACCAATTAGTAACAAAGTTCTTGTTAAGCATCACTACCAGTGTAAATGATAATGGTGTGGTTCTGTGTGTGATAAATCCATGATTTATTTGTGATTTGTGGACGTATGTCATACATTTGGCTCCCTCTGACACATGCATCAGAAGGTTCTCCTCTCCAGGGGGAGAGTCGCTGTAGGACGCCTCCAGGCGCTGGTACTCTGTGTCAAAGTGCGCCATTGTGGAAGCAGCTTCAGTCTCAGAAGTTGGACAGACCTAGCGCTACAGGCTGGAGCACAGAGAAAAGCAGGGAGAGATCAGAGGATATAGACATAGACATTATAGAAATCCAGAAGGAGTAGTAAACATGGCAGGGGGGAGAAGAGAAAAGCAGTGATAATAAGAAAGTTACAACATGAAAAAATAAGTGAAAAGGGTAATTACCCATGATATGTTCACAGGCAGAAAAAATAAATAAATAAAAATCACTCAACCTCGACACAGACACACACAAAATTATGGAAAATGTGAAGTCCTATGGCTTCCAATAAGGACAGACCATGAAAGTAATAGGAGTGTAAGTCACCATTAGTGTAGTCATTAAAGTTGATCCTTGCAGGAAAATTCAGTTTTGCCTAATCCTTCAGAGGAGAGGTCAGAGGTCATGATCAGTGGCAGAGTAGCAAACCTAAAGGTGGATTCATGCTGACAACAGGGAATCAAACTTTGAGCAGTCTCCTTTACTAGCTTAACATGCAGCTAAATTGTAAATGAGTCTAAAAAGCATGGTCCATTGTCTTTTCTAACATATGCTATGGGAACCTTGGACAATGTTAAATCTAATAGGTATCTATAGTCCTATAGCACCTGTAAGTTGCATCTTCCCTTGTCAGATAGACAAGAACTATTAAGTGAAACCAAAATCAAACCATCATGGTCTTAAGGTCTGTCTAATTAAAGCTGTCTCCAGATTTATCTTGAGACCACGATTTCATGGTGTGGAATACAATATACTGTACCTGGCAAGAATGAATACAAAACTTACCATACAAAGAGGCACAATATTCTTCAAAAAGACGCAATTTTAACTGGATATATAGGTTTGGGCTTTAAAAAACTGCGGTTTGATGACTGGAGTGCAAGAACAGTGAGCTTCCTTAGACATGTAGCTAACTCACACTGTAAATCTGAGGTCCTGGTGAATGAAACGCTACTATATGGCACCGTTCACACTGACCCAAAGCAGAGATGTGATATGATATAAAGAAGCATGCTTACCTCCATTCCAGCGCAGTACATCCTATCCAGCTCTGGTGTTTATTCAACATTCCCAGCTGAAAACGGAAGGAGAGAGAGATTTCCTTTAAAGCTGTCTTCACACACTGTAGGTAGCAAAAGTAAGCTAACGCATAAGGCTAGGCCCACGCAAGATGCCAGAAATATCTGACTTTTGATATGTAGCTAACTGAAAACAATGGTTAGCAATGACACATCAGTGTATGAAGCAAATAAACGTCTGACTCAAGTGTTGTTGTCGTTGTTTGACAGCACAGGCCTGCCTCCCTCAGGCAAAAAAAAAAAGCCACTGCCCAAATCCCGCCTTATGTACTCCTTACCCTTTGGCTCTTCTGTATTCTCTATGTTTAAAACGGTGAATCCCCGACTATTTAACGACAACCGTTTTATTTTCGCTTTCTCCTGGCTCTTTCCTGAAGTAAAACATATGCCAGTTTCATTTTCGAAACAAATAGCAGTGTAGGGTTTGTCGCGACTGAGGGGCAGGAGTGTTATCCAATCAGAAAACGGAAATCTTTTTAATGAAAGAAATAATAACCAATCAGATTTGCTTAAGGCGGGCTCTAAGATGGACTTCAGAAACACGTCCAATGGATGCATTGACATGCGATTGACAGTCCTTGTATAAAAGTCAATGATGAGGTCCTCACTATACATAGATGTATATTTACTGCCACCTCCTGGTTATTTTGAATAATATTTTTGGTAATATTAATATATAACTGTTAAGCTTGTGCTGTTTAATGCAGTTATAATAATGATCTTGGTAATCTAATTTGTTCTGATTAGGGTCACATTTGATATTTTTTTTATATTGCATAGTCTTTGTGCTCCATTATTACCCCTCACACATGCATCAGACAGATTATGGATTATGGACAATAACACACACACACACACATAATGTGATGTCAGATTGGGATCAATTTCATTTCCATGTTTGATTTATTTGGAAATACTACATACAGTGTGATGTAGGAAAGGTTAGATTGTTTTTGTGTGTATGTGTATGTACTGTACATTTCACGCGTGAAATCGAGGCAACATGAACAAAGAGATTCCAAATCTCTGGCTTCAACTTCCCATGTAACAAGGGACCTAAATAACTCTGATATGATACCAAACAGAAACAATATGAATCACACCAAAAGTACAAAAAAAATCTAACAATATGAATCACACCAAAAGTACAAGAAATTGTAGTTAAGATACTGTATGTTTGCTTGATTTGCCAGCAGCATTACATCTGAAAAGGAGAGGAGAGGAGATCAAACTTCCATTTGTTGATATGGCACTGTTGGCCTAATAGGTTTTGTAAAAATAGCTCACATCTATCTCCGGATAGCACCAATAATCCACTCCACGGTCTGCTGATACCAATTATAACATTAACACTTAATGTAAAAACAAGAAGGGTCAATGGGTTTCTTCTAAAATGGCCTTCTTCAATCCTCTTTTATCCTTAAAAAGGTGAATTAATTTTGAATCCAGAGCCACATGCACATGTTGCATGAGTCAAACATCACTGTGTGTGTGGAGAGGTGTGCGTTAGATATGTTTATCCCCCGGGAGTTAACATTGACATAAGACTGCACAGATTCTCACAGTGATTATGATTCTTTTACTCTTCCAGCTTAATTGTTGTTTCCACCATTAAGGTCAAAGGCCAAAGTGTTTATTTGTCATATGCACAGTTAGGAAACCTGTTTTCCTGTACAATGAAATTATTACTTTGCCATCCACATGAATGCCACATAATACAAGTGAAATATAAAGTAGATGAGCAATAACACAAATTTAAATAGGCAGTAAAATCACAAACCTAAGGCACTTTAAAGTGAAGGAAGCAAATAAAAGTACAAGAACACAATATAATGAAGAGAGAATATATGCTACGTGGGAGCATATATATATTGACAAAGCATAGTATATAATTTCTTTTTTAAACAAAAATAGGTAGTTCAGATTTTGCACAGCAGCTTTCTCTCCATGTTGGCTTTGTCTTATAACTGTCTGTTCCTCCATTACTCTCTGCAAACCTATGTATCCATGTTTTTTTAAGTGCATTAATGTTGTGCATCCAGACATGCAAACTTCTTTCAGACTCATTCACAGAACAGAAAAGTGAATGCTCCACTTTAGCAGAGTAGGTAATCAATACAGAGGTAAAGGGATGGAGAGATGGTGGCATGTTAGGACATATGGAGACCAAGTGAAGGTCAGAGACGAGTAAAATAATAGAAACATTTAAGGGAACACACTCATATTTAAAACGACCACAAAATTCAAACTAAGGGGAACGGTTCTAGCTGAATTTGTGGGATATAAGCAATTTTTACGGACTTATGTGTTGGCTTAAAAGTGGAGATTCAACGTAGTTTTTTTTTTTTTTTTTTTTACAGATTTTGACAAAATATTTCTAATTAAATCCATTTTTGACACCGATCACAAAATGGAAATTAAGTGTTAATGAATAAATGTGTGGTAAATTAATATTGTTTCCATTTTGTGACACTCTTCATTGTCTTGTGAACGATCAGATGAATTTTACTTGTGTGCTTTTAAAATGACTTTTTAATGCATAAAATTAATAACACTACTCCAGGTTATGTATGCAGAAGCATTTTTTAAATACAACAGCTAAAAACATTCACTATAAAACTTTCTAGCTGGCAAAAGAGCTTTTATTGTGAACCAAACCATGAATGTTTTCCCAGTTTATTTGTAAGATTAAAACATATCAACAGTCAATATCTTCACTAAACAACTATAGGCTGCTATTGCTGAGTTAATTAAACTGTATCACATTGTCTTCATCAGAGCATGATGTTTTTACAGATGTTCAAACTTATCATCTCATACGACCAACAATAATAAAAACATTTAAATATATAGAAACATTAGGTGATCTTTGTGAATGCTTTTCGCAGTGCTAGTAAAGTAGAATTTGCCTATGTGTTTATGTGACTTGCTATCAATATTCTGGTTAACCGTGGGTCATCCTTTAGTGTATTTAGGGCTGTATTATTATTTTTGAAAAACTGGTTGTAATAAAGAAGACCGTCTGACGATTCACAATGAAATTAAGTACTCCAAACTTTTAAAACTAACTAATCGCACGTCTAATACAATGTAATGGCGAATGAAACACGAACTGTATTAAAGCAACAACCAGGTTATAGAATATATTATTTTACATTAAAAGATAAAATATTGGGTATAACTTCGACACAAACGCCACTTTTCCGAGTATCTGGTGAGAACGCAATTGCATTCCTTTTCTCGTCTCAACAACAAACAGGAAACGCACATCCTAAAAAAAAATGATTGGCATGCCGGGTAGCCAGTAACGTCTTCGCGAACTGCCTACTTGGCCAATCATATTAGAGAAGAAGGGCGGGTCGTCCTGAAATGTGATGCAAAATTCGACGGTCAAGCTTGTTAGTCCCACCTTTTTGTGTTTCCCGCACCGTCAATCAAAATAGGAAAAAATCGACCCGAATTCACCGATCAACACTAGCCCGCCTTTGATAAAATAATCATGTTCGGAGTTTAGTTGAACAGATAATCCTCTCAGTTACAACCATTTATGATATGACTGGTACGTAAAGATTTAGCGCATCGACGCGTGCAACTAATCGGTGAGTTTGTGCAACCTACAACGAAGCAAGCTGCGTCTTTTTATCTTAGGCTCTACTGCTAACTGGCTAGCTATGGTTAGCTAACAGAGCTAGCTAGCTAGCCACGGAGTTGACAAAGTAAACAGTCAATCTGGACCGAAATCGCCTCTGAATCTCCGCTGCAAAGTTGAATTTCGCACACAGCTCCTTTTGGACTGGAGAGTGGGGATGCTCTGCGCGCTTTTCTGGCAGGCAGGAGTTGAAGATTACAGAGTTTTGCTGAGTTTCCCCCTCTCTCCCTGCTAGCGTCAGAGCAGCCTCTGAAACAAGGAGAAATGGCGTCCGCGGACGTGGACAGCAGTCAAAGCGAGTTTCTGCAACCCGGCGGCGCAGCGGAAACACAGGTATCCGACATACTCTAGCTCGTCTTTCTCGCTAGCTTTCGATTGCCGGTTGTATTTTTGAGAGCATGAAGTTCACACGTTTTAACATTTTGATGGTATGGGGTGAAAGCGGTACACTTCCTGTGTTCCCCTCAATAACGGCCACCCACTTTACCCCTGTAAAACCCGCCCATAGTGGGTAGGACACTGAAGTCAGTCACTTGGGTCGGCTCGCTGGAAGATAGCCGGTGTATCAAGGGCTCGGATGATGCAGGGGTGTGATTATATGCCAAGGATAGCGTCCATAATTACATCCATAGCGACCAGTTGTGTTGTAACAGCCACCCATCCCCCACACCCCGCTCTCGACCAATTCTGAGCCTGTTATCTGCACTCAATGTGCTGGTGGATACATTTAACTTGTGCCTGTTTATGTCCATCCTACACGATCTCCCGCTGCCTGTAATTTAATGTGTTTTTAATATCAGTATGGCGTCTGAATACAGAATTGATTTTCATACAATAGGCTGGTTCCTTTTCTTTTGATCATATCTAAAGCTGAGATGAACCACTGTCTTCTCGTAAAATGTGATCTGTTCTTGATTTAAAAAAAGTGTGTTAATCTTACTCCTAGACATCAGATATGTCAGCCATTCATCTGACGGGTTCAGACCGATGGGAGGTGTTAACCCCTGTGTCAACTGGGAAGGAAGACCAGGGAGTCGTTCACATTCCAAACTCGGGGATTGTCTCGTCCAATGCCCAGTATGTCCTTCCTATCGGGAGTCTTCCCAGCCAGCCCATTTATGTTACAGCATCTGGGAATGAGGCTGCAGCCAACGGAGTGTCAGGCATTCAGTATCAGGTGAAAAGAGACACAAACATATTTGAGCTACAGTAGGTGCTCTGCCCAAGTGGCGATCATGCTCAAAACTATTGCTCCTTCTTCCAGGTCATCCCCCAAATCCAAAACACAGATGGGACAATTGCAGGATTCCCAACACAGGGACTGGATGACGGCACAGGGCAGATTCAGCTCCTCCAAGATGGCGGCCAGGGCAGTATTGGGATCAGCTGTACCACGTCGGCGACCACAGATCTTCTGACACAGGCGGGACAAGTGCAGTCAATCCAAGGCGTCTCGCTAGCTGGGGGGTCAGCATATGCTAGTACAGTACCTGTAGGGCTGCCTAGCAACATAACATTTGTACCCATAAACAGCGTAGATCTGGAGTCACTAGGGCTTACTGGAGCACAGACGGTCCCTATTGCAACAGGGGTAACAGCTGAAGGTCAGCTGATAATGAGCAGCCAGACGCTGGAGAGTCAGGGTCAAGATGCCAGCAGCAAACAGCCGCTGGTGACGGTGAGCACTGCCGCCAACCAAGAGCTCTATGTGCCAACCACCACCACTTCCTCCTCCAACTCCTCCCAGCTCCCTGAGACTATTGATGGCACCGGAGTTCTCACCCAAGCAACTGCCGTGTCTGCAGGTGTATCTGACCCCTCCTCCTCAGAGAACTTCAACTCCCACAACCATCTGCAGCAAATCCAGGTCAGACTCCCTCCCTCCCTCCCATGTTATGTGCATGTCTGTCAGCCCTGAATAATTCCAGGTGGTGCCTTCCATTTAATAGTGTGATGATACACTTAGCTCACAAGACAGGATATACAATATTGGGTTCACAAGAACGAGACGATATTTTAACATTTAAATGGGTGTGCTGCAGTGCATAGAAAAGTTCTATACAAGTATAAGACCGTGTCATACTGGCCTGGTTCTGTTATGTATTGATAAAAGAAAAAAATATATAATTATGTTCCACATAATTGTTTTAATTTGATCAGATTATTCTCTAACTTTTGACTTTTCTTGTTAAATAACAGATTTATTCACCTTTTCAAAACTCTTTAAAATGAAGCAATCTGAAAAAGAAAATTCTGCTCAGAGCTACTGCTGACACATAAGGTGTGGTCTGATGTCAGTACTTCACAGCACCGTCCAAAAAGTGACGGTGTATTTATAACTAACAAGCTCTGAAAGCTGGCGTTGAGTGTTTGCTCAGATTTATATTGTAGTTTACTTATTCTTTGACCAGTTCTTTCTTAATTTAAATCTCCATTTTGTCAAATTCAGACAGTTCTACTTAGTAAAGGTTTCATTTCTGTGTATTTAATTTTTGGGAATTCTATTTTATGCTTTTGGATGTCTCCTCTGTCTGATATGCATCCCAGACTTCTCAGAATTTATTTGTCCCGGCCACCTAGGTACATCCGTCTCTTACGAGGGTTGTTTGTCCATTTGATTTCTTCCTTGCACATGTTTATATACTATATAACTACAATTGCAAGTATACACTGCTAAAATGGTGTATTAATGTACAGTCATATGTATTTGGGGTAAACCTACTTGCATTGCACTTCAGTGCTCCACAATCCAGATGGTCAACAACCACAAGTCAATTCTTACTCTGTGGGAAATGATATCACTTGCAATTTATTTAATCGTTTAAGGCTGACTATCCACTGTACTATAAAATCAGACATGGTGTGAATACTACTTTCTCAGCCTTTGTGTGTCATTGTAATTAATTTAGTTTTGCTTTTTTTCTCTCAACCTTGCAGGTGTCGTCCTCCAACACCACCACTATCTCGCAGCCCATCCTGCAGCTGTCTGGGGACGGTCAGGCACAGGTAACCCAGGTGGCTCAGGGTCAGGACCTGACTGGAGCAGCAGGACAGACTCTACAGAGTGTACAGCTGGTCAACCCAGGGACCTTCCTCATTCAGGCCCAAACTGTCACCGCTACTGGACAGATTCAGTGGCAGACCTTCCAGGTAGGTACCCTACAGGAAGTGTGTAGTTTTCGGTGTTTTCGTGTGGTAAATTGATATTTTACTAATATATCTGATGTCTTTCTCTCCAGGTTCAGGGTGTTCAGTCACTGCATGGGCTTCAGTTGTCCCAGGGGCAGGGGCAGGCCCAGCAGTTGACCTTAGCCCCAGTTCAGACCCTCCCTCTGGGCCAGCCGGGTCAGGTCAATCTACCCAACCTCCAGACAGTCACAGTGAACTCTGTAACACAAAGTGGAGTGCAGTACCCACAAAGAGAAGATGCAAACAGTCCAGCTGGTATGGGATTTTGCACATACTGTGTATAAACACCAAATTTTTAATTTATTTGTACCTAAACTTCTCATGAATCTTTCTTCCCTGTTTCAGGTATCCAGATAAAGGAGGAACCAGAGTCTGAGGACTGGCAGCTGAGTGGGGACTCGACGCTGAACCCCAGTGACCTGAATAACCTGCGGGTTCCGATGGGGGATGAGGACATGGAGACGCCGAGCGGGGAAGGCAAGAGGCTCCGCAGAGTAGCCTGCACCTGCCCCAACTGCAAGGAGTCTGGAGGAAGGTAGGAGTGAGAAACCCAGGAGGTGTAATGGTGTGGTGTTTGTTTTTAAAATATCTGATAGTAAATGTAAGGGTTAAAAAAGCCTGAACAAATAAATTATGTTGTCAAAGTGTATTAAACATTATGATTCCAGCAATAAGAAATTACATTAACAAGACATTATGCAGTTTTTTTTTGCCACAGCCAACTTTGATACAGCCATAAAATGCTCAAATTCACTTTTCTTTTCTCACTCGTGGACACATGCAGTTTTAGAGCATGTGTTAAAGTGGAAATGATCTGCTGAAGCTAGTATTATACTTCTGCATTTGAAGTTGTCAAACTGGTCTTAAATCCTGTTTATAGCAATTACAACCTCACACTTCATGCAAATCTATATTTACATGGAAAAATATTCATGCAAATACCAAATGTAGACCTTTTTCCTAGTCCATCAGTACAGTGAGGTAAGATTATTATTTTTATTATTGTTTGCATTCCTTTGTCTTTTCAGTAGATCAGTTGGATGCTAAGTTGCGTGTTTTCAGTCTCTGCATTCACTCTTTAGTTTGATTCTTCACCGGGTGCTGACTAGGATCATCCAGAATGTTTGGATCTCCTCCTCATTTCCCCTAATTCTTCCTTCATCTCACAGAGGTTCAGGCATTGGGAAGAAGAAGCAGCACATCTGCCACATCCCCGGCTGTGGCAAGGTTTACGGGAAGACGTCCCATCTCCGAGCTCACCTGCGCTGGCACAGTGGCGAAAGACCCTTTGTCTGCAACTGGATGTTTTGCGGGAAGAGGTTCACCAGGAGCGACGAGCTGCAGAGACACAGGAGGACACACACAGGTGAGACTTGCACAAGTCTCGACACCTTTTAGATCAACTTTTAACACAGTTGTAGTCATGCCTTATAGTTTTGCTTTAACACATTAATATATCTAGTAGGCTACTAAAGAGTGGTGAGCATTTGGCAACAGATGCACCAGGAGCACAGTTTGTGTTGATTCTAAAAGAAAGTATCAATGTGTGTTTCTAGATCAGATATGTTAATTGGTACATTGTTACATAGGCCTAGAGTGCGGTACCTGAACCAAGCCAGACAGGATCCCTCTGTACCCAGAGGTTTAGGTCAGGTTCCGACAGAAATGTAGAAGTTTTGTTTGGGTTTGGACATGTAGGCCAGACTTAAGGCTAGACGTCTGCTTTGTTTAATAATAATTCTACAAAAATGCCTATTCCAACTGAGGAAAAAGTTAGCACACCCTCACATGTATGCCCTCTTAAAATGGCTCAAATCACACACAGGTATATCACACCAGGTGCACATAATTAGTAGATCGTTACTCAGCATTTTGAATGAGGCTTGCCCCATCTACACCTCCAACCTTTAGTTTGGTGTGCTCCTGACTGTTGAAGTGAGAGTGAGCACCATGGTGAGAGCAAAAGAGCTGTCAGAGGCCTTCAGAAAAAACATTGTAGCAGCCTATGAGTCTGGTAAGGGATTTAAAAAGATCTCAAAAGATTTTGAAATCAGCCATTCCACTGTCCGGAAGATAGTCTACAAGTGGAGGGCTTTCAAAACAACTGCCAACATGCCCAGGTCTGGTCGCCCCAGCAAGTTCACCCCCAGAGCAGACCGCAAGATGCTAAAAGAGGTCTCCAAAAACCCTAAAATGTCATCTCGAGACCTACAGCAGGCTTTGGCTACTGTTGATGTAGAAGTGCATGCCTCTACAATCAGAAAGAGACTGCACAAGTTTAACTTGCATGGGAGGCGTGCAAGGAGGAAACCTTTGCTCTCTAAGAGAAACATCAAGGCCAGACTGACATTTGCCAGAGAGAATGTTGACAAAGACCAGGACTTCTGGAATAATGTTCTTTGGACAGATGAGTCCAAAATTGAATTATTTGGACACCAGAGCAGAGGACATGTTTGGCGTAAACCAAACACAGCATTCCAGGAAAAGAACCTCATACCAACTGTGAAGCATGGAGGTGGAAGTGTCATGGTTTGGGGCTGCTTTGCTGCAGCAGGACCTGGTCAGCTCACCATCATAGAATCCACCATGAATTCTACTGTGTATCAGAAGGTGCTTGAAGAACATGTGAGACCATCGGTTAGAAAATTAAAGCTGAAGCGGAACTGGACCATGCAACATGACAATGACCCAAAACATACTAGTAAATCAACCAAAGACTGGCTGAAAAAGAAGAAATGGAGAGTCCTGGAATGGCCGAGTCAAAGTCCAGACCTGAATCCCATTGAGATGCTGTGGGGTGACTTGAAAAGGGCTGTACATGCAAGAAACCCCTCAAACATATCACAGCTGAAACAATTCGACATTGAGGAGTGGGATAAAATTCCCTCAGACTGATGTCAGAGACTGGTAGATGGCTACAAGAACCGTCTCACTGCAGTTATTTCAGCCAAAGGAGGTAACACTAGCTATTAGGGGCTAGGGTGTGCTATCTTTTTCCTCAGTTAGAATAGGCATTTTTGTAGAATTACATTTACAGAAGATCTTGAAAAGACTTTTCTTCAGTTTTACTTGTTTAGTTGTATTACTTTAATCTCTCTGTATTGTTAAAATTGAGATTAAATAACCATATATTAAAACATGTTACGAAATACACATGCTTTCAAAGGGTGTCCTAATTTTTTCACATGACTGTACATTGTGTTCCATGTCATGTATTTAACAGACACATTGAAAAGTTTCCCGCCAACACTCGTGCTTTTCTTGTGCCGTGTTAGAGAGTTCAGTTTGGACAGACATGCATTTAAACTGCTAGTTTGTCTGGTTGGTGGAGGCACATAACTGCCAGGCCGTAATTCTAGTTGTGAGGTAATGTAAATGTAATGTACCTGAACAGCTGTAGGCCTACTGATTATCTATCATTCTTTGAGCAGCAGGACTGTGATGAGGTAAGAAATTCCACTGTAACTTGATGAACACTGCAGAAACCCTGCCAGAACATCACAGGAAGTTTTACATGCTCTAAAGTTAAAAATTAGACTAATGCCATTTCTTTTCTTTTTTTTGGCCAACATCTATGCCAGCACCTGTATCCTGGAGTTACACCAAGCTGACCACCTGGCCTATTTATCAGTCCGTGCTGAACGTGTCATTTTCTCCTGCAGGGGAGAAGAAATTTGTGTGCTCAGAGTGCTCCAAGAGGTTCATGCGGAGCGACCACCTGGCCAAGCACATAAAGACTCACCAGAATAAAAAAGGTGTCGTTCCCTCCACCACGTCGCCGCCCACCACCGATGCGGCCATGGATGGAACCACAGTCATCCTCCAGACCACCACCACCCATGACCTCGTAGCCAATCAGGAGATCCCTTTGCAGCTGGTCACCGTGGCGCAGGGTGATCACATGGAATGAGGGGTGAGCTGGCTTTTTATGAACTGGCCTTTCACAGGGACCTCTTGGGCTTTTCTCTTCCCCTCTT